CTGGTCAGACCAGGGAGACGGGGAGCAAAGCCTTGGAGCACGCCCACAGCGGGACAGCCCAGGCGGCGGCTTTGCTCGGGTGTCACTAGTCTGCTGGGGGGGGGTCCAGCAGCTTTGCTGGACCCCCCCCCAGCAGACCAGGGAGACCGGGAGAAGCTTTTCTCGCCCCGGAGGATACGGGTGGCAACCCGCCGCCCATGAGCTCCGGGGCAAGAAAAGCCCCGTTCGTAAGTGCGGATCCGACATAAGTCGGATCCGCGTAAGTCAGGGACTACCTGTATACACTTGTAGCATTTATCACTGTTTAAGACAGGAAGCATAATGGCCAGAATGACCTACTAAATTATTCTTGTATGATCATTCAGAAGCTTCTGAATGTCTGAAGTTAAGCTTGGAATCTTATACCCCATCACCCTGAATATTTGCAGACATTCAAAAAAACCTTTCATTATATAATTTCATAACCAAAAAGGGAAAAATAGTTTATAAGAGGACTTAATTTAGGAGAATGCTGTGAAAGTTAGAGATCCTAAACCTCTAAATCTAGATTGTCCATACGTGGAGGGGGGAAAATGCCTGTTTCATTACACATACAAACTCTTTCTGTGTCATCCAGCAAGGATTTTAAGATGTACCAGAATGGAAGAATATAAACAAGGCTGCTTTATCAGAATTCTCGTCCTACCTTTTCTGTACTTAGCATTAAATGAAATATTGGATTGCAGTAGCTTTCAGATTCTGTCTTTGTATAGGTTTCCAATCTCCCATTTTGTATTTACATTCAGTTAGTGATAGACCAAATTACTTTACATTTATTTACAAATTCAATTTGAGGTTTTAGCTGTGGAGTCCCCCCCCCCCCCCTTGGGCCCCTTGGGCATTCTTCTTCTGCCTAAATTCTCATATTAGGATACCATCATCAGCTCAGTCTTGCTTTGGTCTGTGCGAGAGTTCTTTGTACAATCCAAAAATCAGTGTCTGAATTATTGACAGTAATTCAGGTTTTTGCAAACACTTCTCATAACATGGACCATAACAGTCTGATGAGCCACTTCTCTTGCTATTTGACTTTTACAAACAGTCTCTTCCCCCACTTCTCTGCCCATGTTGTTAAGGAAAACTCCCATAGCATCTATAGGGATTGTTTACATGGTAAAGTAATATTAAGGAAGCACTTGCTGTATTTTTTTTAGTTGAAAACAAAGAGACAAGCTAGCACCTTGCCAGCTGTCTGTGGACCACCAACAAGGGCAGCATGGACCACAGTTTGAGAACTGTTGATCTAAATTCATTCATGCTAGCATTCTTTTGGCTATGGTACCTTAATGCATTTGCAACCTTCATGCAGCTTAACATCAGTTTCCATAAAATGAGTATTTCTAGAAGACTTCAAAGGGAAGGAGGATGTGGGAAGCTTTGTAACACTTGGAAGCATTTCCAGTTACAGAGCAACTAAGATAACTGGATTTTATCACCTAATATAAAAACTGTAAGGATGCTTTGCTTTTTAAAGAAAAGCATTAAAATTTGTAATGCAGG